TGCGGGCGTACTGCTAGCACCTGCATTTGCAACAGCCCTAAAGATAACACCGCTGAAATGTCCATCAGCAGAGAGACGGATTAAATGAATTATGCTGTGTGCACATAGCAAATGTTCTTTGCTCCGTGCAAGGGCAGCTCAGGGAAATAATGTTAAGCAAAAGAAAGCAGGTCCTGGACAGTCCACATTGTACTACTCCATCTGTGAATTTCAGTAATGTGTGTAGAAGTCAGAACAGCAGTTACCTCTGTGACCAGGGATGTGCATGGACAGAGAAAGGACACTGGAAGGCCTTCTAGGGCTGGGCTGCTCTAATTCTCACTCTGAGAAGTCAGTGAGTACCACATCTGTGATGGGAGGTGCATAAAGAGCAACACTAGACATTCAAAAAGACTGTGGGCCCCTTGAATCGAACCTGATGCTGACAGTGGACATTATAGGGCCGTGCTTAACTAGAGTTCAAAGTATAATTCCTTTTACATTTTGCACAGGAAATAATTGCATTTATAAAGAAGTCCTCCATAACAACCGGTTGCTGAGGGGAAAACTGGTATCCATTGTCCTTTGCCCTTGTCTTTGATGGGCTCAACAGGACATCCACTGAGACCCATAACACAAGCTGAGGTCACTTGCTGCACCTGCCTTCTGCATTCTGATGGCAACCAGGAGCCCTTCCTGTTCACTCAGCAATGGATGTGACAGGAAAAAACACCTGCAGAATGTCAGCCTGTCCCACTGACGGTCCAGGAGTTCAACACAGGGATGGGGTTGGATTCTTGGTGAACCTAGGCCTGCCTTTCTCAGATCCTGAGAGTCATCCTACCGCACCTCATGCAGGAATGTTCCCACCCATGGGCCACAGGTGCTCACAGCGAAGAACAGAGCAAAGTGGATGCAGCTACCTACCAGTCTATAAAGACAGGAGGATGTTTCCTCCCAGGTGATTTGAATCCTCTTATGCTCTCAGAGAGTCCAAAGGGGGTGCAATATTCATGAGTGGATCAATCCATTGATGACAAGTTCATGTAATTTTAGGAGGTGGGATGTGGTGGGAGGGTTAGATCACTGAAGATGTGGCCTGGGCGGATACATTCTGGTTCCTTGCCTGCTGATTCTCTCTCTTTTCTGGGTTCCCTTTAGAGGAGCAGCTTTTCTTCTCCAGATCTTTCTACCATTCCACTTCTGCCTTGGAGTCAACTGACCATGGACTGAACCCCTCCAAACCACAAACCAGATAAAGCCCCTCCTCCTTTAAATTGTGGGTGTTGGGTATTTTGTCACCACAATTAAAAGCTGACTAATACAGGTAAAGATATTATTTCTAAAGAGAGCTACATTCTGAGGCTCTGAGGAGGACATGCATTTGGGGAAATACTTTGTCCACCACAGGCACCGGGCACCGAGTGCTTATTTCTACCACCTGCTCTGCAGATCTACAGAGAAGGCTACTGTGGCCATGTTGCAGAATGTGGAGGAGCCTCAGGCGCCACACTGTAGGAGGAGAAGGTCTGGACCAAGGAAGGGGGAGGAGGGCAGAGATGGAGAGCTGGTTGCCATGGAGATTTCCTCTCCAGTTTCCATTGTCCTCTTAACCCCCACAGTCCTATTCCTCCTCCGCAGCCCTGGATTATTTTGGAGTCAACGCACCCCATACATAAGACTCCACTAACATCCTTCTTTCCTCCCCCAGTCTCCTGGGGTGCACCTCTGAGAGGGTTAGGAAAGGCTTGAGCTTCAAGGAGAGGATGCCAGGTGGATCCTGGGAGAGAAGTACTTCCTGTGTCTCTCTAGCGATGGGCACAGGACCCACGGGGTTGGCTCTAGCGCCCAGAATGCACGTGCCTTCTTGGGCTTGGCTTTGGTGCAAGGTCAGAGCTTTCGCTGGGGCTCTGTGCCAGCTGGGGGTAGAGCTTTGACCTTCAGTGTCACCAGTGTTTTGCTCTGGAAGCTGAAGAATGGAGCACAGGTTTGCTTTGAAAGCCTTGCATGGGGCTCCTTGGAGCGTTTCTGTTGGGGCATTTGGGGGGCAGTTTAGTCTGTGCCTGGAAGTCGGGCACCCTCTGGCACATCTTGAATTCCATGAACACCACCCCTACACCACTGAGTCGCCCCAGAGTGAACTGGCAGAGCAGAGTATTCACTTTGCCAGTGAGAAAGTGTATCTTTTCTCTCCAGGCTGTTCTTTGTAAACCTTAATAGATGGACCAAGAGCTGCCTTGTTTTCTTACCCTATCCAGAGAATCCCACGGTGCTGCACTAGGCAGAGATTTGATTTCAGCTGAAAGATTCCACCTGATGCCTGAAATTAGATACTGAGGAGGCGTGGGGCACTGAACTGTCCTTTTGCATCAATTTTTCAATTACTCTAACCTATGAGATTTTGTTTGTCCTAACCTTATGATTCAGACTTGAAATTTCATCAGCAGAGGGAACAGGAAACAACATTCAAATATAAAACCAGCCTCAGACTGGCCAGGTTTGATGCTAAACAGGGAATTACAGCAGCCAGTGTTTGCGGAGGGCGAAGACCCAAGGCTGGTGGAGGACACAATGCCCAAGGAGCACTCTCTGGGTCCGCTGAGCGCTTGACTTTCTTGTGGCAATGCTGGTACCTTCCGGTGGGACTGAGGATGAGTTCAGTCTGGACTAACTTCCCCCTCTTCTCTCTCAGTTGTGCTAGGACCCAAGGAGCTGTGAGGTTTTCCTGCATACTGTGGGCTGCATTTGCTCCTGCACTGCATCCCCACCTGTGGGCAGCTCAGGGAAGATGTCCTCAGGGCATGGTGGCTCCTTGCATCCTGGGAAGAGGTGTTCCCTGCACCCAGAGGCTCAGAGCTCTGGTTCTGTTCTACCCCTGAGAAAAGCCAGCCCAGACCTGATGAATTATGCATGGCGAAGGCTAAGCCTTCAACTCATCCCCACCACATTCTTTAGGTAGGTTTGGAAATATGGGAAAAACAATTCCACGCCACACATGGCCCTGCAGAGAGAATGCAAGGACAGGGGACAGCGGGTGACCGCTGAGAAGGAATCCTGGTTAGCAGGTGAACACGGCAAGCTTATGGCAGCTTCCACTCTTGGACATAAGAGCATTCTGAAAGACTCTGTGATTCTGAACAGAGCATTCCACCTAAGCAGACCTTGCTCAGCAGTAGAATTTGTACAGATTGTACCAATAGGGTTCTTTCATGTGAAAGTGATAGAAACTCAGAACAAACCAGCTGAAGCCTCCAAGGCAGCTACTGGTGTGAATAGTTACATGACCAGGACACGGGGCTTCGGGAACAGCTGGATCCCAGGTCACAGGTGCCTTCAGGCTTCCATCTCTATTTGTTTTCTGAAAGCTCTGCTGCACATGCTGTGATAGCTCAGTTCTCAAATGAGACATCCAAAGCGGATGCGATGGCTGCTGGACCCCAGGATTACAGCGTCCCTGGTGCCCATGAGCTCGGAAGGAGACCTTGGATCTGCTGGGATCTCAGGGTCACCCTGCCCTGTGGGCTTGGAGAGAGATCTCAGGTTGAAGAGTGTGGTTTCTAGAAGGCAAGAGAAGGAGGCTGAGCTGCAGGGTGGCCCAATGTTGGGATTCCGAGGTATGTGTGACGTGGTACCTGGGGTGAGCCTGGCACTAGTGATCGGCAGAGACTGGAAGGGAATAAGTCTGACACCAAGTCTTCAAAGACCCCTCTGCACTGACAGCCATGCAACTCTGAACACTGAAGATGTTCCGTAAATAAAGACAGCAAAGGCTGGGAGTCCCTGTGTGCAGTGAATGTAGTGCTTCCTCGGGGCCGTGCCTGCAGGCTTGGCATGGACATGACATTTAAAACTGTTCCACCCCAGGTTTCCATGGAGAGACTAGAGGATCCCTGAACTTAACATTTGGTAAAAAAAGGAGCTCTGGGCAGAAAATCACCTGCTCTGAAAATCTTGTCACTTAACACCTGCTTCTTAGGAGAGCTGCAAGGAGGACACTCAAAGGCAGTATCTCCCGTGACAGCTGAAGCCTTCCATGTGGTTTGCAACAGAGGACAAGATGTACGTCCTTTCCAAGCCCCTAGTGAGCATGCCCAGCCCACGGGCCACGGGCAGTGGCTTCACAAAATCTTAAACTTTTAACATGATTGTGTGATTTCCTTGGGGTCATATTTGCCTGGTTTGATTGACAGCACAGGCAACAAGCGAACACTACACAGAAGGGTCCAGGGCACTGCTAACTAACTCTGCTTTCTGTGCCTGCCATGCTAGACAGTCAACCCGGGGGAAACCCGGGGGGCCAGGCATTGTAGGAGCTTGTGCCACTGGACCCATGAAACTTACGCTTATTGATAATCATATTTCAACCCATCTACACATGTGTAGTGCTGCTTGCCGTTCTCTTTTCAGTTGACAGATATGAATTACCTGTAGAATTTCAAGTGGAATGTACAGAGTTGCAATCACGCAACTCAAAGATGTAGCTCAGCCTCACAATCATGCCTTATTAGCATCATTCTTAGGAAGTGTGGGTATATTTGGGAACAACTACATTCAAGGTTGAAGGACGTAAAAGGTAAAATTAGATCAAGAATTTCTGCAGAACATCTTACGAACTCACTAAGCTGCAATCATTCCATCAAACCAGACAGTGATGCATCTGCTTCACAAAACCAAGGTCAAACACCCCACTAGTTTCGTGTTTATTCTGCCATCTTTTAAAAAAAATGTTATAATAAGAAATACGCAAAGGAGTTTTGTTATATATATGCATTAGCTGTATTATATCCCTTACGTGCAGCCCAAGGGAATTCCTTTTTATTCAATGCAAGCCTGGGAAGCCTAAAGGCTGGATACGCCCCCTCTGAACCCTGTGGCCCCAGGCTGCGTGTGGAGTTACCAAGAGAGGTGACTCTTCAGGGCCCAATAACAAACTTATATGGAGGAAAATCACATGCTCATTTTCACTGACTTCCAGCTGATTTCAAACATTTATTTTTTTTTTTTTAATCATTGAATGGAGGTAGTGGAAGTGGATTGTAGGGTTATGCGGTGACTCCATTTCCCATTTTATGCTTCCCATGGTGGCTATACCAATTTGCATTCCCTCCAAGAGTGTACCAGGGATGCCCACAGCCACACCCTTGCCAACACTGCTTGTCTTTTGTTCTTCTGTTGACAGCCATTCCAACAGGTGTGAGGTGCCATCTCACTGCGGTGTAGATTTGCATTTCTGTGGAAGTGGATGAGGTTGCGCTTCTAACTGTTTGCGTGTGTTCTTTTGAGAAACATCTATTCAGATCTGTGAAATGGAAACTCATGAGATGAGATGGAAATTTATTCCATGAGATGGAATAAAAGGGCTTCTTAGATGTTACAGATGCTAGCCAGTGGAAAGACCAGACCCTGGGACAAGTTCCTGCCCACCATCAGAGGAAGGCTAGGTAGCAATCGAGAAAATACCCACAGCACCTCCCAGCCAAGAGCGTTTGTATAATGAAAAACCGGAAAAGAAAATTGTAAATTGTTTACATTGAACCTACATTCACTGTGGATTCAAAAAGTGGGGTAGGTGAAGTGGGGAAGGTTTGGGAATCAGAGCAGAAGGAAAAGTACCTGTTGCTTCAGGATTTGTTGGGGTCAGTAGTCTAGAAGTTCATTCATCACCAGGAAGTGCTAGAGTTTTGCAAGCTGACCCACCAGGAGTGTTTTAAGCCAAGGTTGTAATCTACATTGAAGAATGTGGAATAATCTTTTATTGGTTTCAGCAGCTCATAGGTAATTAACATTCCCTATCTCTTCCTCAACTCCACTCTACTCTCTGGCCTTGTAATTAAATCTACATATCTCAAAGTTTACCTTTTATCAGATACTTCACTTATTTTTTATTTGGATAACTTGAGCTTTTTTTTTTTTTTTTTTTTTGGTCATTGACTTGTTTGTGTTCCTGGTACTGGCATGATTTAAAAATATAGTGAATATGTTAATGAAAATATTTATATTAAAATATATTAAAATATTTATAGTAAAAGATGCGTAGCCTTTAATACCCTTCAAAATATGCAAAATATTCCCCCTTATTTTGAACACACTTATCCCATCATTCTTGGCAATGTGTCTTGTACTGTAGTTTAAAAAAATTAAAACTCACCATATGTATTTTCTCTCACCCCTTGTATATTGCCGATGCTAAGTCTTGTTTGTTGTATCGTTTACAAATATATTCTTGAATTCCTATAGACCGTCTTTTTACTCTGTTGACTGTGTGCTCTCCTTTTTAGCTTTTTAGTTTAATCTAATCCTATTTGTCTACTTTTATTTTTGTTGCTTGTGCCTTGGGGTAGTAGGGTAAGGATACCCTTTATACTCTTAAGCTTTTTAGATGGCCTACAAATTAAATACATATAAGACAGATTAGCAGGGGAAAACTATATGACTGCATTACATGTACAGACATTGCATGAAATAAAATTGAGTACCACCAACCTAGGAAGACCTAGAAGTTTATATTTGTTCTTCATAGGAGAGGATGGAGGGGAAGGGAAGTGCTTGGAATTTCGAGGAGGTAATGACTTTTGAAAACATGAATGACCCCCTCAGAAGAATAAGTATCAGCTTGTTTGATCATGGTGTTGATCCAGTTAATTTTACCTCGTTGATAGGATTCCCCAAAAGGGGTTTATGATAATCAAGATCCTTTTGGAGGATAGTCTAGGCAGATAAGGGATTGCAGGGAAAGGTCCTGTCCACATCCCCGAGTGCCCTCTGTCCAAAGTCAGCAGCACCCCAGCGTGTGGCAGCTCTTGCTATTATGTAATAAAGTTCCCTCTGAGCAGCCCTCTTCCTGATGTAGACAGTTTAATGCAGATTTCCTTCATAGACTGTAATTGCTTTCACAAAAGAACAATTTTTAATAAATGATGTTAGCCAGCTTCCTGTTACTATAACAAAATGCCTGAGTTACTTGACTTCCAAAGAGAAAAGGTTTATTCTGACTCATGGTTTCCAAGGTTGCAGTCCCTGTTGCTTTGGGCTGGCAATAGGGCAGCACAGCATGGCAGGAGAGCAGGCAGAGCAAACCACCCACCTCATGAGGATCCAGGGATCAAAGAGCAAAGACAGAGTGAGGGTCCTCTGATCCTTTTCAGGAGCATTTCCCCAGTGACCTAAAGATGTAACACCAGGCCTCACCTCTTTTTTAATTTTCTCATAGTATTGGTGACTGAATCTAGGGCCTTGCACATGCTAGACAAGTGCTCTACCACTGAGCTGCACACCTAGCTGTAGGCTGCACCTCTTAAATTCTCTGTCACTTGTTAACAGTACCAGGTTGGAGATCAAGGCTTTACCACATGGATCTTTGGGAGGATATTTGAGTTAAAAAACATAGCAGAACTGCCCCTGCATCTCCATTTTCTCAGAATGAGCAAATCTGTGTGTGCCACAGAAGTACATTTTCCAGTGGTATATTCTGGTCTCCTATACTAATATGTTGGAGTAGTGTGTTCTGACCTCCCCAAAATCATCATCCAGACAAAGCATGGTGCTTTTCCACTGTATTTTCATCAAGTAGTTTTATGGTTTCACGTCTTCTGTTTCTCTTCAATACATGTCGAGTAGTTTTTGTATGTGATGCATGTTGAGGGTTTAGTTTCATTCTTCTACTTGGGGACATTCAGTTTTCCTGATACTATTTATTTCCTTGGTATATGTTTTTGGCACCTTTCTCAAAAATCAGTCGATCATAAATGCATCAATTTGCTGCTCGGCTCTCTCCTGTGTTCTAGCGGTCTGTTTGTGTTTTTATGGCATACTGTGCTATTTTCTTTTTTTTTTTTTTTTTTGGTTTTTCTCTGGTACCGGGAACCGAACTCACGACCTTGCGCTTGTGTGCTATTTTCATTACTACTGCTTTGTAATAGATTTTGAAATCAGGTAGTGTGATGCTCCCCACTTTGTTATTTATGCTGGAGATTGCAGTGGTTTTCAGGGTCTTTTGTAGTTCCACTTGAATTTTATTTCAACCTTTCACCACTGACTATAATTTTGGTTATGGTATTGCTAGTTATACAGCAACTCTTTAATGTGTGAGGTTCATTACTACCATACCTAATTTGCTGAGCATTTTTATCATGAAAAGTTGAATGCTTTCTTCTCCTCTCCTTTCCTATCCTCTCCCCTCCCCTCCCTTCCCCTCCCTTCCATGCCCCTCCCCTCTCCTCCTTTTCTATTCTCCTTTCTCTTCTCTCCCCTCCCCTCCTTCTCCTCCCCCCTCCCCTTCCCATCCCTGCCCTCCCCTGGCACATCTTCAGCTATCCCTTGTCTGTCTCCTCTTGGAAACTCCTCCCTGAGTTGGGCATTCTGGATTCAAATGAAATAACTCTCTGAACACTACACAGAGGTAGAAACCAGCCAAAGGGAAATGAACAGAGAGTGTGCCCCACCTGGATCTCTGGGGTAGAGCAGGGGACTCGAGCCTTTCTCTGGGCCTTTCCTTAGTGAGCCTGTGTATGTGTGAAGGCTCCTGGTCAGGTGAGTGCTCAGGCATCTTCATGCCCAGCCACAGATGGACCCAGTCTACACCAGACTGGGTGGGAAATGGTCAGCTAGGTTGGACTGAGGTAAGAAGGAGGAAGAGAAAGGAGGCAGGGAAGAGAAAGGGGGTAAGAGGGGGAAGAATAAGAAGGGGGCACAACAGAGACCAGGACTGAACGTGATGCTAAGACAGTGAAGAGGGAGGACCTGGCCTCGGCTCCTCCGAGCTCCTGCGTTCATAGCCTGTTCAGGCCTCACAGTGGCTCAGAGCTCATCTTCTGTCTCTCCATTGTGGCTTGGGAACCTCATGCACACCTGAGAGGACCAGCATGAGGATCGTCACCTGGACATGCAGAACAGAGAGCAGACCCTGCATGGCTTCTGACACAGATGAGTGAGAAAAGAAGCTCAGTTACAGGAGAATGGACATCATTGAAAAGAATGTTTTTAGCATGCAAAGCAATTTGCGGCACTCTCTGCTTCTTGGTGGGTCAGCTGTGTCAAGTGTCTTTGTAGAACAGTTTGTGTTAAGTGTCTTCCTAAGATTCCGAGCGCTGATTTCCCCCCTCCCGCTCACCTGACAGGTAATACCCCTTTTCCAGCCCCACACTCTAGGACGAATGAAGAAAGATGGGGAGCACAAGTCAGTGTCAAAGATCTCTATCACTTCCTAGTGATTTTATAGAATTTTTTAAGGAAAGCGTGTGCTCAGATTGGGTTGTTCCTAATGGACAACATTACTTGGGTCCCATCTGGAGCCCAGTACCTCCTTCTCTGTTCCCAAGGGTGAGGGCGGGTGCCAACCCTGTCCAAATTCATGACCACCTCTCTCTAGCATCCCCACCATGAAAGGACCCCCAGGAACCTCTGAAACACCCGCAAACACAAGATCTCATGAGCTCTGCGGTGGGCTTTGTCGGACGTCCACATGACCTCTGGGACAAAGTCCTGACTATTTTGTTCCTCCTTAGACACACAAGCCAGGCTTTCTTCCTCTACCTTGGACTCACAGACTCACCCTGCCAGTGTCAGGGGGTGATTGTGTGAGGACAGGCAGCTAACAGAGAGCTGAGAAGTCTGGGCTGATCAGCTGATGTGCCCAGGAAGAGCCGCAGCTCAGAAGTAAAAGCAGCCGGATTGTCGTCCAAGTGTCATTTACTTGCTTAACACTGAGATCTTTCAAGCACCTGAACAAGCCAGGCATAGCATCAGGCATCGAGGGTCACAGTCTCCCTGCGTGTTTGTCATGGTTCCTTCTATGCATAAAGGAGATCTGTGAAGAAAAGACAGATGAGTGACATGCTATAAAGTCCCACCCATGAGTCAAGGGTGTTCTTATATGGAAACAGCATGCATGTGAGGAATGTCACCTGGGGCAGGGTGGTGGGTACTGAGGGAGGACGGCACACTGGTGTGCTCAGGAGGGGTAGGGTGGAGCCCAACCTGAACCCCTAGGGCACAGGAGTGTCACACACCATCCCAAGGCAGCCCCCTGGCTCGCTGCAGCCCTCCCTCCTTTGCTGAGGCTGACCCAAACACCAGCAGAGACGATGACATTTCACATGATTAGGTTTCTACATGGTTGGGGCCTGCCCCAAAAGACTCCAGTCCTGTCCCCTTCTCCGGTAATTAGCCCACATGTGCATGGAGCTCCCACTAGGTCGCCGGATATAGACTGAGGCTGTGGCCAAAGCCCTGCAGGGTCAGCTGGGCCTCATGGGAACACAGGGCCCCACTCTGGGCTTCATGGGGAGAACCTGCATCTGTGAGCAGGCATTGGGTGGCCTTTTGCTGATTGGTGGGAGCTGGGGAGAGCTGGAACTGGGGAAGAGTGACACGTCGCACTTCGGGGCATTTCTACACCAAGGAGGATGGCCATTACAAGCCATCAAGCCAAAACCAACGTGGAAAATGAAAGTTTTGATGAGGATGTAGAGAAACCAGGCCCTTGTGCATTGCTGGTGGGGTAGAAAATGAGGAAGCCACAGTGGAGCTCTGTGTGGCCCTGCCCTACACAACAGAATGGAAGGTATCACTCACTTTCCCATCACTGGACAAAATGCCTGGCACCCACGATGTAAAAGAAGAGGGCTTTACTTTGACTTACAGTTTTCAGAGGATTAGTCCCTGGCTGGCTGACTCCAAGGCAGGAGCATCATGCTTGAGGATATGGTGGAGGAAGGCCGCCAAGAAGCACAGAGAAAAGGGAGGCGCTGGGGACAAGAATATACCCTTCCAGGTCACAAGCACTCCCAGGGACTCCCCTCGTCAGACCAGACTCTCCCTCTCACAGCACTCTCAGCTATTCACTCATCAGCAGATGAATCCACTAAGGAGTACAGTGCCTCCGTGACCCAGTCACCATCCCAGAGCCCTGGTTCTGAGAATCTGAACCATACCACAGCATTAGTATGTGACCCAGCCATTTTCTTTCTGGTGCGTCCTCAATAGAACCAAAGGCAGAGACCCCAACAAGTACTTGTATACCCGAGTTCATAGTAACATTATACACAACGGCCAATTGGTGGAAAAAAACCTCCAGGTCCACTGATGGAGCAATGGACAAGCGTAGTGTGGTATATCTACATAATGGAATATTACCCAACCCTTAAAAAGGATGAAATTCTCAAATGCTATATCATAGATGAACTTTAAAAACACTACACTAAATAAGTTAAACCAGACTAAAAAACAGGACACATACTGTCTGATTCCACTTATATGAGGTCCCTAGGATGTCTCTGTCATATTCTTAGAGAGAGTGAAGGACCCTGGTGGCCAGGGACTGGGAAAGGGGTTAATGAGAGTTCGTATTTACTGGGGACAGAGTGCAGATCCGGGAAGATAAAAAGTTCTAGAGCTGGATGGCAGGAGTGCTTGTGCAACCGTGGGGTGTACTCAGTACAACTGAACTGAGCGCTTGGTCTGTGCCCTTGGCTTCCGCCCTGTGGAGCCCTGTGCTCCACCGGGAGGAGGACGCCGGGGCCCGGGGCTGGGGATAATTCAGATCGGTTCTTCCCGAGAGGCAACTGCTGAGTGAGCCCGAGGCCGAGCACGGATTTCAGCCTCATACCGTCCACCTCCAGGCTTGTGAGAAGCGGCTGTTGCGTGGCTTTTCCTCCTGCAGGTTTTGCTTAACCTCTGTTTTATCTCAGCCCCCTTCAGCTGTGAGGTCTTCGGCTCTGTAATCCGTCCTGACAGAGGCTGGAAGGGGGCGTGTCCCCGACTGCTGTGCTGTCCACCAGCCCCCTCCTGCTCCCCGGGCCAGAACCAGAGCCAAAGCAAGCAGCACGCGGGCAGGGGACCTCCTGCCCGTGGGGCCTCGGGCACCTCCTGCCTCAGGGTGAAGCTCAGCTCTTGTAAACTGGACCTCCTCTGCCTCGTTCACGACGGTGTCCCCGGATCTGCCCGGCTGGCACACAGAACCAGCTCAAATCCCTGGCGAACGAATGAGTCAGTCAATGACCTAAGAGCCGCGCAGCAGGTAACCCTTGAAAAACTTCAGACTAGGTTTTGCCATCCTTTTCCTGTCACAGTGGTCAGAGAGAACTGCGAATTTTTGTAGATTGAAATGATAAAGCATATAGATTGTAGGATGCTTTATAAAACTATGCAGAAAATATATAAATCTATAAGCTACGTATTAAAATGTAATGTGTATCAATATTATACAAATCTATTATGTGCACTGTTTATACTTTTTCGTTGCCATTTTTTGAGACGGGGTCTTGCTGTGTAGCTCAGGCTGGCCTCAAATGCCCAGTGATCCTCCTGCCTCAGCCTCCCCAGTGCTGGGATTACAGGTGTGCATTGCCACCACGCTTGGCTTGTACATTGTACATTTATATATTATATAGAACATATATTATTTAACACCAAAAGAGATGAAGATATACATTGTCACAGTCCACAGGCATGTGCTGAGGGGGATGCAGCAACGGTGAGGTGCATCCCGGCAGCCATTTTCTCCTGGGACCAAGTTGCTCGTCTGAGCTCAGTCGGCTTTATCTTCAGAGTGCCCTTTCAGAACAGCTCTGCTGCGGCTCCAGCTGCTTCTGCAGTGAGCTCCATGGCTGGCTTCCGGGCAGCCTCAAGTCTGTGGTCCTCTGTGCTCTTCTCAAAGACTCACTGTCCCCGGATAGTCACCCTCCTGCGGCAGCCCTGGAGGGGATCACCCGGGCACTGCGCAACTGAAAGTCAGCTCTGCGCATGCGTCCCAGGGCTGCTGCGCTCTAACTGCCCAAAGCCGTCCTGGTGGTAGCTGGATGTTCTGTGTCTCTGTCCGTACCATCGTCACCAGAGATGCCCTGTACTCTCATCCTTCCCCCAGGTCCTACCCCACAGCCACGTGAATCCTCCCTGTTCCAAGTCTGGTCTCGGCATGCACAACATCTTGGAACAAGGCGGGGTCTCTACCTCCCCATCCTCCAAAACCTAATGAATCAGAATCTGCTTAGTAAGGAGACCTCCAAGTGAGTCACTTCTGCCCCAAAGCTCGAAAAGCACTGACGGCGACTCCCACTTAGCCTGAAGGGGTCGGCTGGTCACCTCCTCCGGAGAACCTGTCCCCACCTCCCCAACACCCTCAAAGGCTGCAGGAAGAGTGAGGGGGGCAGCCACGCCCCAGGCACGTGCACTTGTTACATGTCAGAGCGGGCTGGGTCTCAGAGTCACTTGTTCCGTGGCCGCGTGCTCTGATGCAGGAGACGTGATGCTTCTCAGCGACCTCGGCGAGGGACATTGTCTGGGTTAGCTCAGCTTGCACAAGTGTCACATCTGCAAATGGCCACCAGCCGGGGACCTTGTCTGTACCTCCCTGGAGCCCCACCTTGTGGGGTCACCTGAAAAGCTGGGTCACCTGGTTCTGAGCCTCAGGTATGAGGACCATGAGAACGTCCAGGAGAGACAGGACCGGCCCAGCTTTCTTCTACAGAAGAACAGGCTTCATGGTGTCCCCCCATAGCTGCCCGGCAGGGTGGACAGAACCTCTGGGGTCCTGCAGATTTGATCCAGAATACAAGCCCGATTGCTGGGGATCTGAGAACGACAAACAAGACGTTGATTTCTCGGGGTGGTAGAAGAGTAGCTTCATCCTGAGAGAGAGACGAGCATCTATATCCTTTTTGATTATCGCCACAGACAGGCAGCAAAAGACGGGCTACAGCTCCTGGGGAGAAAGCCACGCACCCAAGCATCGCGCCTGTGTGGACTCAGCCCCCGACCGCCCAGGTCAAGTACAAGAGGCGGAGGCCACAGGGGGCCCTCCCGGTCTCACTGCCCGGCCTTCACCTCTCAACCCTGTTTCTAGTTAGGCAAGCATGAGCACAGCAAAACCAGCCTCCCGGGGTGACACAGAGGTGTCAGTGAGATAACAGAGGAAAGTAAGCTTTGGAAATGGGCTGCATTTCACAACTGGCAATTACCTACCTGCTTTGCAGTGAAGAATAATCTCTCCCAACAGCAAAGGGGTGGAGTTTACCGGCAAACTGGGAAGCAGTTTCTCCCTGTGAGCCTTGGTGGCAGTGACTACATCTGGCACATCATCTCTCTGACGAGGGCCTCATTTTTTATTTCCCACCTCCACTCTCTGCTCTCTGACCCACCCAGGTTCTCTCCAGGGTCCAAGGGCCCACGAACCCACGTTTCTGACCCCCTGCCGCACAAACACACACGCGTGTGCTCGGCATGTCCTACATTTGAAGAGGACAAAGCTAGAGACACGGAAACAACTGGCAGGAGTCCGATGTGGCAATCCTGGGATATTTTGCCATCTGAACACGACTTGGGGAGGCAGGGAGGGGACTCAGAGCACACACAACAAAGGCCGCGTCAATCCCAGTTGTGAAGATGTCGTCACACCAGCGTGACCAAAAGTGGTCTTTCCCTTACTGTTAGATTTCAAGCAGAGCTCGCATGTTTGAACCCTGCCCAGGAGTTACACAATACTTACACAACTGGGGGTTTCCCCGACGCTGCTTTGGGTCTCACCCTTCTGCTTTTCTTCCTACAGAAAGGACAGATTAACATCTGGCCCAGATTGCGGGGTTCTCGCATCTGCTTAAAGCAAATGAGCTGCCGCCAGTCGCGGAGCACAAGGACTGTGTGTTCTTCGGGTAGGAAGTTCAAGGGTAATTTGAAAGTCAAACCAAGGGCTGTGGTCTCTGTTTTGTAGGAGGAGGAAGTGGAACCTTGGGGGAGCCCCTGGGTAGCATTTATAATGACTTAACCCAGACTCAGTGTGTTAGTTCATTTTTCTGCTGCTATGATAGAGTACCACACACTGGGAAATTTGTAAAGAATTTATTTTTCACAGGTCTCAAGGTGGGGAAGTGCAACGTCAAATCTCTAGCATCCGGGGAGGACCATTTTATGGGCTCATTACAAAGGGCAGACGCACAAGAGACCATGTGTGAAATAGAACAAATCAGCCCAAAAGAATGTTCTTTTCAGGAGCCCCCTCCTGTGAGAACAAGCCCACTCCCCTGAGAGGCCACTCCTGAGCACCCTGGCCACCTCTCCACACCGTCACGACAGCAATTCAGTTTCAGTCTGGTTCTGGAGGGGACGTCCAACCTGGGTACATGGCTGGAGAGCACCAGCCGCCCTATCGCTGACCTCTGGTACTTGGCATGGAAATCCAAACAGGGTTATCAGGAAGCCTATTTTCCATTCGGACCCCTGGCTCAGCACACCTTGCCCAGATTGTTGCACTTGTGACATCCATGTCACTCCCCCACGCAGGTTACCAACTACACACCATGTTGTAGCAGGGACAGCTTGATACACCCACAGCCACTCTGGCAGCCCCTTTATGGAGGGGAAATAGAAGCAGAAATTAATATGCTGGGCCAGGGATACAGCTCAGCAGCACAAGCGCCTGCCTGGCAAGCGCACGGTCCTGAGTTCAATTCCCAGTACCACATAATAAAAAAAAAAGAAATTAATATGCCACATGCCCTAGGTCACGTGACAGGCCACAGCAGAGGGGATGAGGGCAATTGCCCAAGCTGGTTCTAAAGTTCGGAAACCCTGCTGACCTGCTTAATGTTCCTGAGGAGGTTATGAGGCAGCTGGCTACACTGCTGTCTGCAGCCCTCGGTCCTGTCACCAAGGCAGCTGGCGGTTCTGCAGAGGGAAGAGACAGGGTGTGGTGTGGGCCTGACGTTCTTCCTCACCAGGCGGGCCGAAAGGCTGGGCAAGGGACCACAACTACCCGATCTCACGTAACCTTGGATTTGAGTGTAAGAAAAACGATTCCTCTACATACTTACTTTCCCTTCCCTCGTGTTTTTGAAACTTTTAAAAAACTGTGACAAGAAATTTAAATCAGCTACAAGTGCAAAAAGCCTCAATTGATCCTATCTTTGTGAACGAGTAGATCCCGTCATAAAAGTAATTATTTGTTCTTTGTTGGCGGAGGTGGAGTTGAATTGTGGAGCCCCGAGGTGAAAGCAATTTGATTAACTTTTATGTAGCTTTGGATAAAACATTACAATTTTTTAAAGGGACAGGATGTAGTGTTTGTAAGACCATTTAAATTCAGCTTTGTCTGAAAACCTCTTCCTTAGTACCTCTCTTGGCCATGTCATTCTTTAAACTGCCAGATGGTTCTTGGGAGCGACATTGTATGACCATGATTTGGGTCTTGAAGACCCCTCCAAAGGCTTGTCCCTGGCCTGTGATGCTACTGAGATGCCATTTGCAGATGTGGCACTTGTGCAAGCTGAGCTGACCCATACAATGTCCCTCGCTGGGGTCGCCGAGAAGCATCACGTCTCCTGCACCAGAGCACACAACCCTTGGGAGGCTGGGCTGAGAAGGTCATCTTCAGATCCCTGGGAGTGCGCCCCTGAATGGGTCTGTCACTCTGGCCTCTTCCTCTCTCTTTTGCTTCTTGGCCATGAACTGAACGGCTTTGCTGCACCATGAGCTCACGCCGTAATGTGCTACCTGGCCACAGCACAAAGCAATGGGATGGAACCTCCAAGACTCTGAGCCAAAACAAAACTTTCCTCTTTGTAAATCAACGACCTCATGTATTTGTTACAGTACCAGAAAGCTGACTGATAAATGCATTATACAGACAATTATAACTGCAGATAGTATAACTCTGAACTGTCAGGAATGTGGTAAAACGTACATTTCCCCCTAAAAGCTGTTTAGAATTGGAGTGGAGCATTGAAAGGGACAAAAATAGAAGGATGGTAGGAAAAGGCCTTTGAAAATGTCCACTTCATCCTGTGTAAAGGAACATTGTCTCCATCATGCAGAACAGTAGACAATACTTTTTTGTTTTGAATAAAAATGCGTCTTCCTGAAAAGCTATGGAAATGTAAGACTGGACGTGCTGACACTGGATTAGAGAGAGCCATAGCTAATTTTCCTATCCCTTCAGGGTCTATCGCTTATGTTCTGGATGAGAAACTCTCCTTTCATAATGGTTGTCAAAGTATGGTCCAGACTCTAGTAGTCTCTGAGATCCTTTCACAGCCATCTCAAGGTTCAAGCTACATTTTGCAGTAACATTAATAGATTTACCTTTTTTATCTGTGTTGATATTGACACTGTTTGTGCAAGATCAAAGGTGAGTCAGACTGCTGGTGCCTTAACAGAAACCGGGCAGAAGCACTAACTCATGTTCTTCACTGCCATGTACTTGCTTAAAAAATAAATATAAAAAGGAAAAGACCAGTGCCACTCAAGAATTTCTTTGATGAAGCAGTAAAAATTAATTAGCTAAAAGAACATGCATCTTTTTAGTTTCTGTGTAATAAAATAGAAAATTTGCTGTTACTAAATATGGCAACTGTCCCAAGGAAATGTAATTATGTGTTGCGTTGCTAGCTAAACTAACCACTTTGTTTGCAGACATCATTTCTACCTGAGAGAACAACTAACAAATTATGTCTAGTTGGGAAATTATGTCAAAAATAAATGAAAAAGCCTGTCACTTCCAATACAACAATTTAGGGGAGGACATGTTGGCAACGATAAAATCTGAACTTTCAAGTAAAAATGTGAGTTCTCGAAAATTTGTATCTGTCACTGAGCATTTAACAGTTTCCGTGTACTTCTTGGTTAGGATTGGTGATGATATTAACTACTGTGATCATTCACTATAGTCTCCTAAAATGTGTCATCACTTTGTAGCAACAGTTTCCAAATGACCAATGAATGATGTTACAAAATCACGGGTAAAAGCCATCCAAAGTGCAAGATAGATCAGTATTTAATGTAGCCACGGAAAGTCTGATATGGTCTCATATTTTATTGCAATAAAGACTTAAGAAATTACCATAATTTTTGGCATTATGTAAAAGAATACCCACAGTTGTGTGATGCAACTGTTAAACACTCCTCTCTTGTTTCAACTGTTTATCTGTTAGGCCAGATTTTCTTCATATACTCACATCAAATTATTTCAGAAGAGACTAAATGTGGAAACAAGAATAATCCAGTTTTTTTATTAAGGCAAACATTCTAGAGATTTGCAAACACGTGAAACAATACCAAGGCTGTTTTAATTTTTTGTTTTTTTTCCGGTACCGGGAACCGAACTCACGACCTTGCGCTTGCCAGGCAGGCACTTTGCCGCTGAGCTAAATCCCCAGCCCCTGTTTTAATTTTTAATATGGTAACTTCTTAGTGGTACTGGGGATTGAACCCAGGGCCTCTCTCATGCTAGGCAAGCATTCTACCCCTGAGCTCCACCTGCAGCCCCTAATCTGGTAAGTCTTCTTGGATATAACTGGTGGTTGGCTGGTGAGTTAACAACCAGGTCCGTGAGGAGAGGAAGCAGTTTTGTAGTGGTGTTTGATCTCTGTAGTGTGAATACTCATCACCTGGAGTTGGGAAGAGATGTGTCAGCCAGTGTCCTCGTGGGTTCAGAAGCGTTAAGGGCCCCAAGGAACCACGGCCTGTTTAGCTGTCATCTCACCAATGGCAGCGCTCTAGGGAAGGGACGTGGAAAGCTATGGCCCCAAAGTGCATCAGTACTTTAACTTCCTGTGCTCATCTGCCCCACAAAACGCACCAACCTCTTCTCAGTTCCTTCTGCCGAAGAAGCCCCCTTAACCCCTTTATTGCAATCTGTTCTTAAGTGAACTTTTCATTTGAAGTTTTCAGGACTCCTGGGACACCAGGTCAACACTGGACACTCCATGACAGAGTGGGGGTAGCGAATGGTGTGTAGTTAAAATCCTCTCCACTCGCATCATTTCAGGGGTGGGAGGAAGAATGAGGACTATTACGAGGTGGTGCTTACATAAACCAAACACTTTATTATTTCAGAAAGGCCGGATTACAAAACCTCTTATACTTCAGATCCGCCCCTTACCACGCCAAAGGCTCCTGGGGACTCACATTTCCAAAACCGTTAGGCTGCATTACATTAAACTGCCATCTTGGCTGATAAAAACCAGCCCCAAACCGGCAACTTAATGTGGTTCAAACTCATCTAAACCGAGCTGATGGCTATGCTTTCTTTTGGCAACAAGATGTTCCCGTCACATGTCTGTTTATATTATAAACAGATGTCCCAGTGATAAATAGGTCCCACTTGGAAAAAACACCGTGTGCTGAACTGTGCTGCAGTGCTCTCTCTGGACACGTAGGCCAAGTCGTCCCAGGCCGGCTCTGCTGCGCCCGGGTCGCCCTGGACCCATTCCACAACCTCGTCACACGACGACTCCGTCTTTGGAGACGTCCAAAGCCAGTTTGCCAGGAAGTAGTAATATCTGTCCCACTTGGAAGCCAGAGCAACCTGACCTTTGAAAAAGGCCAGAACTACATGGTGGACTTCGGTGCTCCTGAGCTCCACAGCACATCAAAACGTGCTCCTCCAGGGGACCACTAGGAGTTCTTGCCTGTGTCGTTTTCTCTGTGCCTCTGGGTGTTGTGTCCAGGAAAACTGGGAAGAAAAACAAACCCCAAGCCCCCCAAACAGCCTCTGGCTGAAGACACAAAGCGGGAAGCAGAGCATGCTATCCAGACGGCCCAAGCCACGCTTCGTTCACACAGGTCCAGGGTTTAACAGCGACCCCTCCCCTCCCAGAGCCTCCCCGCCTGCCCTGTCCCACACACTCTTCACTTGACACGGAGCTGAGATAAAAATAAAGCTTTCGTACAAATTACATTTTTTTCCAGTGAATTACTTTTGCAGTAAAAATAGCTGCTACATAAATCCCTCCTGATCTCTGAAAAGGAGTCGCGTATTTCCAAAAATAGTATTCTTATTTTAATCACAGAGTAACATGAGGCGCAGAAAGGAAACGGTTGGCCAGGGAGAGGTGAGCTGTCAGGGAAACACGGTTAACACCAAAAAATAAAAAGACATCTGCGTACAGACTGATTGAAAGGCATGCAGAAAAGTGGAAAACATACGCCGTTTGTCAAGAAAAATACTGCTTTATAGCTTTTACAATTAAAGGGGAAAATAGGGAGGCCAGGCATCCTCCCCAGCCCAAGATAATAACATTAAGTTTCTTATAAAAAAAAAAAAAAAAAATCCCTAAATGTACAAAGTCCTTGTCAGGCAACAACCAAGGCAAAACAAAAACAAACAAAAAAATCAATACAAGAGCCAAAACCAGGGACAACCCCTGTGGACCTTATTCCTATAGGTATATTATATGAAAATACCACACTTTACAATGCTCTTAATTTGCTGTGTTGGCAGATTAAATCTTCTTAAAATGCCACTCATGTGTGCTGTTGAAAAATGGAATAAAATAGTGGATGTCTGCACTCTTATTTCAAATAGTTATATAATTATTTTAAATTACAATATACAACTTCTGTTAAATAGAACGGTATGAGGATTCCAATAGCAATAATAAGATTACAACAATATATACAAACTTCTGAAACGGCATCTCTGGTCTCCTTCCCGCCCTCCTATTCCTCTCCAACAGAGACGGTTTGCGCGTTTATTGCTCCTCCTTGCAAAAGTCCAAAAACCTGTTAGCAAATGGTTGTGCATCCGTGACACGCTCCCTCCGCGGAGAATCTCAGGCAGTCGGAACCGCCGCACCGCGTGGCGTGGCGTGGTGCGGCGCGGCCTGGGCAGACACAGGCTGGCTTCCTGGAGCTCCTTATGACCACTGCCATTTCACAGTGGCACTGCCCGGCTGGAGACTCCAGAGTCGAGAAGCAGACAGTCTGTTGCTGCAAGGGGCATGGCCTCCACCAAGAGGCGCTTTCTGGGATGAAATAAGGCCACTGCTTCTCGGCGACTTTCCCGGACGCCTTTCAGGGGTCCTCGGAACAGCCGGTCGGGACAAGCTCCCCACTCAGGGTCCCCCGGGCCCCGGGGTGGGCTCAGGGCGGTGCAGGGACCTCAGTCCTCCGTGTCGGGCTGGACCCCCAGGATGGCGTGCAGCTCCTCGGGTGTGAAGCCCAGCAAGTTCTGCAGGTCGCAGACGAAGCGGTACACGTAGCGCTTGCCCGATGTCTTGTGGATGATGTTCTTGTCGTAATAGTAGCGTAAGCCCCGGCTCAGCTTCTCGTAGTTCATCTTGGGCTTATTTTTCCTCTTTCCCCACCGGCGGGCCACCTTTGGGGGACACAAATGAAGAGTGAAATTCATCACAGCAACAGCGACCGGCCCCCAGTTCTGGTATGTGAGCCCCGCCATGCAAGGCCCTCGGGGGCTCCATTTGTCTTTTAGTACACAAGGCTCACAGGGTCCCTCCTTGGCTGTTTCTCTGCACTTGGCAGAGTGAGGTCCCCAGCCTCCTGCCCCAGCTCTGTCTCAGCAAAGCCTCCTGGGAACTGAGAGTTCAGAGCCAGGAAGACCTGAGGGGGGGACAAGCTGGTGCCACCCACCTCCGGGGTTCCCGTTCCAGCCACCGAAGTCAGCAGCTGCTAAGCAGTATTCTGAGCTGTCACACACTCGTTCCCTGGGGCTGGGACAGGGGAGGTGACAAATATGGCCCACAATGCCAGAGACCAAGCGCTCCTCTGACAGCGTCCTGGTAAGGCTGGGATCACCTCTGCCCATGGCCTTCTCTGTGACTCAATCCTCTAAGCCACTGCAGGGCTCAACCGCCCCAGTGACAAGGGCAGATTTCCTATGGAAGGAGCTTTCAGTGGCCACAGGGGGACCTCAACTCGCAGCTCTGCCTTCTGATCAGACACAGACCAAGAAGGGGAGCTAGTCCCAGGTCCATGGACACAGGGCACAAGAGGTCCCACAGCCACCACCCAAGCAACCAGCCCTCTCTCATGGCTCTAGAGAACAGCATCGCTGAAGCCATGGTGACGACCAGGGCGTGGGCCGTACCTCGTCGGGGTCAGCGAGCTTGAACTCCCATCCATCCCCCGTCCAGCTAATGAACGACTGGCAAGACTTGTCGGAGAGCAATTCCAGGAGAAACTGCCACAGCTGGATGGGTCCGCTTCCTGCGGGCGGGGGGGGGGGGGACACGATGACACGATGACACATTTCCAGGGCTCTCAGACAACAAGGCTCAAACCACCCTAGTGACACCAGCAGACTGGGGAGTGCAGATCCAACTCCGGGAGAGGAGTTGGTTGCCAAAAATGGAAGGGAAGGGCAGTCTGAACACTTCATGGGATGAGGCAGACCCCGAGGGACGGGGCAGCCCCTGAGGGTGAGACAGAGCCTGAGCAGGAGCCCTTCATGCCTACTTCTGCCCCAGACGCTTGTCCCAGGGTCCCGGGCTGGGCCACCACTCTTGGCACTAACATTCCTCATCCTGAGTTTGGTTCCTCATGGAAAAACCTTGAAGGTTTATTTCTAGAAACTCCTAGGGGAGAGGTTGGGACAGGGGTACTAGGTCACAGAATGCCATAGCATGGGCAAACTGCTCCATGTGGAACACGGTTTCTTCAGCACTCAGGGAGGTAGCTCTGACTGCCGCACCACCTGTCTGCCTTTTTCCTGAGCTACGACTTAGAATCCTGGCCTCAGGAGGAGCGCTGTCCTGGACACCTGCCCATCAGTGTGAGGGACAGAAAAGCCTAGACCTTCTGATCCAAAGCCCAGCCTCTTTCCACCAAAGAGCTACTTCCCAAAATGCTTTGGGATAGTCCAGGATGGAGGGGGTGCACGCCTATATTCCCAGCACTCTGGGAGGCTAAGGCAGGAGGACTGTAGGCTGAAAGTCAGCCTGGGCAGCTAAGTGACTTAGAGACCCTGTCTCAAAATAAAAATACAAGAAGCTGGGGATGTAGCTCAGGGCAAGAGCCCTGGGTTCAATTTCCACACACAAAGGTTTCCTGTACAGCACCAAGGCCCGTGTGCTCTGGAACCAGATCCAGTCAGGAAACCTGTGTGACCCCTGAGAGCTGTCAGAGTCTGAGGCGATTTCCCCATCTGCAGAATGGGCTCACCGTCAGGCCATGGGTCCCAGACCCAGCTAACCACAGGAGCTGGCAACCAGCAAATGGTAATTAGCTTTACTATTAAAATGGAAAACACCAACGCTACTGCTGTTTATTTTCTTACCAGGGTCAGAACTCCTGGCTATGAAAAATACTAGGGGTTCAGGACTGTATATGTGTATATAGACATTTTGAAGAAATAATTCACAGTGGCTCTATATGGTCAGACTATGAAAAAGAAAAAAAAAAAAAAGCACACTTAATGACACAAAAAGCACTTCGTATTTTTGTTCTAGTATTGGAAATATTTGGTTCCAAGAACAGCTTTAATATTTGTCCTCTGCCTAGAATAGCTCTCACCCTAACCTGAGAGGGCGGGAAGGTAAACAGTGCCCGGGACCTGGGCCGGTCTGTCCGCCCCTCCCGGGCCAGTTTACATTCCTGGAGCGCCTGCAGCAGTGAGTCAGGCCAGGACTCTGTAGCCGCCTGTGCCCTCTCCTCCTCCTCCTCCTCCCCCAGTGCTGCAGGTGGGAAGCCAGGCCCTTGGTGGTACCCACCCCCACCCCCAGCTCTGGGTACAGGCCATTCCGGCTGGGTGGCTTTTCCACAATCTAGGGACAATGCACACCAGGCAAAAGCGGCCGCGGGGTGTGGACATGACACGCTTCACCGAGAAAGCACTGAGACACACAGGGCACAGATGGGACTGAGGGGCGGTCACACGCACCTGTGAAGCCGGCCAGCACGGCCGCCGGGATGACAGGTTTGCCCTGCTCCACCGGGTCGCTGCGCTCCTGGATGTAGTCCTTGAAGGACATGGTCGGCTTGCCTAGGCACAGGGACTGGCTGCAGTCGTCCTCGAAGCTCTCAAAGGAAGGCACGCGCTGCACGTCCAGCAGGGACGACTGGCTGTTCCAGGAGCGGAGCAGCGAGTCTGAGCTCTCGAAGCTGTCCCCGCCGTTCTCGGGAGAGTCGTGGTCCTTGGGCTTCCCTGGAAGGACAGCACATGCTGTGACACCCGTGGGATGTGGGAAGGGTCCCGCGCTAGTAAGTAACCACCCAGGCTGATCTTGGGTACAACCACGCCTGGGCCAGCCAGCCACATGCTCTCCTGCTGCACAATCATTAGACTCCGCAAAATGTTCTTCAGCTCACGTGCCTACGCCCTGGGATAAGTATATATACAAATCACGCCATCCCGGAGAAATTTTGTATGTATGTATATACAGGATGGTTAACATGGTTGTTCTTCTGTCTTCTGTTTCTGTGCTGAAAGAAATTGTCAGTGAGTCTTTGGTTGATCAGTATTGCATGTCTATATCTGTTTTCATGAGAAGCCACTTTGAAGATATCAGCATGTAATACAACAACCATTGTTAATTCCCTACCACTTTGTTTGTAACTCTGTATTGTCTGTACTGTGCTTGTGATATGTTGTAAAATGTTGTATGTCTGTTAATGTTTCCCCCCTTTATCTTTAAAATAAAAAAAAACCAAAAACCAAAAAACAAAAAAAAAACAAATCACGCCTTCCCTCAGTGGAAGAAGGGATAGAATGTAGCCACACACAATGGAACAATGACAAACAAATGGCCACAACACGCACGGGGCTCAGAGAAAATGACTGGTGAAAGACAAACCCCAAAGAAAATACTCTGTATGATTTCATCTGTACAAAGTTCAAGAACAGGAGAAAATAATCCATGATGATAAAACGTTGATGGTTTCCTCTTTGGGTGACATTGCACTGGATTTGGGAGAGGTATGAAGCAATCTTCTGGGTGCTAAAACTTTTCTGTCTCCATCTTTTTTTTTGGTTTTTGGTTTTTCTCCGGTACCGGGAAGCGAACTCACGACCTTGCGCTTGCCAGGCAGGCGCTTTCTGTCTCCATCTTGATAGCGGTTGCACAGGCGTCAAAACACGCACAAGCCCAACCAGTTGTACAGTCTGAGATTTGTGCACTGCGCATATTTTAAGTACCCTTACAGTCTGTCACTTTCTTAGGTCTGCGGCCAATTTCCATTGGGCAAGGAATTCAGCTTCAAGAGCACGGCCTGTGTCTAGCTTACTGGATCCCTGCAGTACCTGGACCAGGGTCTGACACCGGCCAGCAGAACACATTTGCTGGGAGCTCACTTGGCGGTGGACCCTTACTCAAGAGTCTGCATCCCGGGATCAACCCCACCACCTTGCTGAAAGACGGCTCCCACCTTACCAGAACTGTTGGCCAGCAAATTCAAGTTGCTGCCGGGGAAGTCCTGGCTGACAGAACAGTAGCTGACGCTGACGGTGTTGAGCCGGGACTTGGGGAACATCTGAAAGTCCTGCTCGGAGCTCAGTACCCCAGGCGCCACGGATGATGGACATATGCCGTCCAAGAGGCCGCTTTTGGGGTAACTTGGGGTCTGCATTCCATATGCAGCCTGTTCCACGCCAAAACCTGGGGCAAAGGGATTGCATAGTGGAGTTGTTAAAAGTCGGTGTGGCAGGGATGATGAACCGCACGACAGGTCCTGAGCTGGGCCTACAAGCGACTACCAATACCTGACTGGAGGGCGGCGGCTCCAGTTCAGAGCACACTGCTGACCACTTTCCACGCACTGCGCCTGCCACCTCTATGTGTCACGCTAGACTCATCTCTAGCGACGACAGCCATCAGCTCCTTACGTGGCTTCTACTCTACAAACCGCCCAACCCAGTGCCGAGCCGAGGTGAGATAATGACAGGCACTTACGCAACTGAAAATGTTCTAATAGTGACATTAAAAAAGCAAGAAACACACTAATTGTTCATCTTCCTTGACCTAATGTGTCAATTATCACTTCAAGATGTAAACAGTATTTGTAAATCACCAAGGAGGTGTTTTGCAATCTGTGTTTCACACTAAGACTTCCAGATCTGTGAGCTCTATTCCCCACACATCTCAAAGGGGACCAGCCCCGTTTTAGCAGCTCGGCACCCACGTGTGGCAACCGTGGGGGGACAGGGCAGGTCTGGGCTGTCCCTGGGAAGGTTCCACCAGGGGCCAAGCACCAGGCCTCAAGAATCCACCAAACTGACCTAAGGTGTTGTTGTTAATCCACTGAGGGACGGAGTTAAGGTGTGAGTTTTCTTCATATTGATCTTCTGTCTTTTCTTGGTTTTCTGAAAAACAAACACAGGAGGCGTAAGACGGCAAATTCAAGTCAAAGCTCCACCAAGGAAAAAGCTGCCGCCCAGCCTCCTGCCATACTCTTCTCATTTCATCTGACAGTGTCGCGTGTGATTACATACTCTTTTCAAAACACAGGAGACAGCGATACATTTTTCTAATAACTACAGAGTTTCCCAAAATGAATGAAATCTTTGGCAAAGTTAAATTTTCCGCTGTCAAACTGGAAAGACTCAGGCCAAGTATTTCATTCACTCATTACATTCAAAAAATAGTTAAACACTGATGAAGAACCTTCTGTCCAGGGGCTGGGGACACAGGATTAATAAAGTGGGACTTGTTTTTGGTCCGTGAGGATTCTGGTACACAGCTTCCAAGCCTGAAAGTTTGTCCATGGTGATGGGACCCATGTGCCCATAAATGGTTTACACTTACTAGGAACATAGTCACACACACACACACACACACACACACACACACAAACCCAAACACACACAAAACCACACACCGAGGTAATAGCAAAGCAAGCTAAAACTTGCCAAATGAGCGGATTCACTGGCAACTTTCCAGTTAGGACCTGTCCAAGTTTAGAGAACATTCAGGGGTCTTTAAAAATAAGTTTTCCAGGCTCTGAGAAATTAGACCTAAAAAGAGCTGGTGGTTCAAGCCCAGGTCTATTTGAGATTCTGAGTCTATGGCAGATGTTGAAACATGATACGTTTAAGCACAATTAAGTCAGGAATTTTGCCTCCAATTCTACAAAGGTGCTTATTTTCTTCTACCATTTAACTGAAACGATCCCTTCTCTCTTTTTTTTTTTTAAACTCAAATGTATTCTAAACATTCTTATTAGTCTTTTAAGTCCTAAATCAAGACTGACTGCATTTGGCGAGATTTCTGTTGATGGGTGGCCGGTTCCGTATAAGAGCTCAGTGGGTAAACATGTATCAATTACCTCCCTGTTTACCTAACGCTCCTCCCCACTAAAATTCTCTGTGGGATTCCTTTTGGACTTAGTAAAACACAAAGTTTATCTGTGAAAGACACCCTTTCATTAAAGTTGACTTATCTCTTCTGGCTGTGTCGGGTGAGCTCCTAACACACAGGAATCCCTGCTGCCCTACATACCCTGTCCACTCGGGCCACCGACAGGTCGCCGGGAGCAGCGAACCATTCAGTGACTCAGGCTCCTGCCTCCGGCTGTGCCCAATGCCACAGACACACGGCGTACACTCAACTCCAGGCAATGAACACCTCGTCATCACCGTGTGCTGACTCACTTGGGGTGTTCGCGGCAACCCATGGCCGCAGAAGCCCTATCCCCCGCCGTGTCCCCTCCCCACCGTGGTGCCCAGAGCCGAGCCATCCAGTGCTACCTTTGATCATCTGCTCCAGGTGCTCCCACAGAATGTCACCCACGAAGTCAGGCGCCAGCTCCAGGAAACGCTCCTTGCCGAGGTTGCAGAGGACCTGGCCGTTCATGCCGAACCGCTGCAGGTTCACGTTCACCAGGCTGAACTCGTTGGTGGCCCAGAGAAGCCATTGGCACACTTGCTGCTCATTCCACAGCCAGGGGTCTGCCAGGGAGGAAGAAACGAAGGCCCGAAGGTGAAGGGGACAGACGGAAAAGTAGGTAAGACCAGGCCACCACCCAGACAAGACCTAACTTAACAAGCGCTGGGTGAAGGGTGCGGTGGACCCGGCTGACATAGTCTGGCTCGGGGTGTGCATGACGTTTTCTTTGCAATCCCTAAACAGCAGCGCTGGCGCCAGCCAGGTCCAGATCAAACCCCGAAGTCCAATCCATCATCCTGGTCCAACCCGGGAGGGAAGCCTGCACTTACTCCTGGGGATGCCGAGCCGCCGCTGCTCTTTCTGGAAGCCGCTGAAGGTGGCTTTTAAGGCCTGGCTCATCACAGCCTTGCTGCAGGGGGTCAGCAGAGGCAGCTCACAGCTGGCAGCATCTGGAGAGAAACCAGGGGACAGGAGGACGTCAAAGGGGCGGCAGCAATAGGAACTGTGAGAGAAAGCTTAGTCTGCAGCCAGAAATGATTCCGACCTCAAATCTTAACATAATTTTTCTTTTTGTCTGTTTGTCTGAGACAAGGTCTTGCTATGTAGTTCAGGCTGGCCTTTAACTTGCTTCCTGAGTGCTGAGATTACAGGTGTGCACCTGCATGCCCAGTAACATGATTTCTTAAAAGAGCAAGAATATGGGGCTGGGGTATAGCTCAGGGGCAGAGCCCTGTGAAAGGCCCTGGCTTAGGTCACCAGCACATCTCAGGAAAAAATATACATATTTATAATATATAAAAACGCGAACAAAATTTTTTTTAACCAGGACTGAGAAATCATAACATGTGTTAGAACTATCTACATGGAGAAAATCTGCGATAAAATCCAAGCTTATTCTATTTCACGGAGCTTCAGAAAGCAGGGATGCATAGATAAAATTTTTAACTTATGACTATTTTAGACTTGTAGACAACAAAATAAATTGTGGTTTTTACTCAAATAGCTTAAAAGGGGTTACTGATGGGAAATTAGGAAGTTATGTCCATTACACAAGCCACGGACAAAGGGACCTGGGCACTGTACCCAAAGCTCTGTAAATTAGCTGCTCTTTCAAGTTTTTTTGAAAAACACTTTTCTCTGGGTGTGCTCAGAAATTTGAAGAATGATATATGATCAGTCACCCAGCGTTACACTTACGCAAGCCTGTGTGTTTTAATTAATTTTCTTGGCCGTATTTTTTTAGCACCTACTTCATATGGCAAAGCAATCTCTGAAATGTTTCCAACTAAAAGCTCTACCAAAGTAATTGCAGAGACATTATCTAACATCTCTTCCCTTGCAAAAGAATAAATAATGACCTTAAGAAAGAACTACAGAGAGAGACACAGATGGATAAGAATATGTTGGTCCCAGACTGGGGGAGATGATTTCACTTATAAGAACCCAGAACAGAAAGCCGGGGTCCAGGATTTAATGTCTGTTTGGCAGAGTAGACCAGGGAGGAGAGGACATTATGACTGGTGTTCAAAACACGCCTAACAAGAAGCTCAGGGGCTCCCCTAGTGTACGATAGGAGACCGAGGGTGCCATTGCGCACACCGGAGTGAAGAATTCAGAACTGTCAAGCTTACTCAAAAGGCAAAGGGCCCTCTCCCAGGTCCACATTTTTCATAGCAAGGATTCATCGTACCTACATCTCCTGCTTGCCACCCTGGGTCTCTTCATTAACTGAACTACTTAGGGAAATCGGGCACCGTTCGTCAAGGCTGGGGAACAAATTACCATGAGAAATGGAATCCAAGCCTGTTGGCACTTCTTGGAGTGTTTGCTCTTCATTTAGAGAGGGGAAAATAGCAAACAGAGACCCGTCGAAGGTGTCGAAGGCTGGCTGGCGCTGCAGAAACAGATGGAAGAGAAAAGGGAAATACAATCAGGAACTGATTTAATTACCTATTTGAAAAGTGGTCTGTGGGTCATCTCACAACACACCCTGACTAAGCTGGCAAATATCAAGCAGCACAGCATTCACCACCAGTATTGGAAACAGATTTCCTAAGAAGGTCAAAGTGACCCACACGATTCCGTTGTTCTCTGAATTATTTAACTAACCTCGGAGAGTCTAATGACTGGGAATTTCAGTGGACTGCTCAACTTAATAAGCTAAATAAATCTAAAAAATAACAGAATCTTAGCACCATGCTGGGAGGAAGCCTGGAGTCCCCTTTCGAACATATCTGCCGCTCTGGTTACGTGGGAGAAAAATTTAATCAGGCTGGGTGGAGGGAAGTAATAATCTGTGACAGGTACTTTTAGGGCAATGCAGTAAAACAAAAGGCCAACTACTGAATACAAATCACAACTCCAAGAGGGAAAAACTATTTTCTTTTTTGGAGCATTTGCTGTAAAGTATTTGGAAGTATTTACCAAGAAACAATTTAAGTGAAACTGGGGACATTTTTCCTTATCAATTCCAACTCCAATGGTTTAAAAAGCATTTTAATACATGAAAAAACTCCTTGAGTTATCACTTTATATAAATAAAGGGTATTAAAAGGAACCCTTCCACTTATTCACCAAGGGGACCAATTTCTAAAGGAAGCAGGTTTAAGGTTAAACTTTGTACAGCTGAAGGGAAAGATATAGCACAAAGATAAAAACACTGTTGACGGCTGCAAATCTCAAATAGCCTTTCATGGAAGGCGCACTGCTAAAACATAATGTGTTCATTCATCACTGCTTCACTTGTGGAGGAAAAATATGATAGTTCCATTTTCCCAACATAATGTGGAAATCCCATGTTATGTGTAATACAATGACCCATCTGTTGAGTCATCAGTTTAAAAATGTGCAACACATTTACAAATAAAATCAGTGTGCTTTCTTTTAGAAATGCAGAACAGCGGATGACGCATTACAAAAGAAGGGAGACAGAAGTTAGGGCCCAGCTCCAGCCAAGTCCCAGTGCCTGAGCTTTATCTAAGGAGGAAAACCCAACCAACCCTAGGTAATATGCTCATCTAGGTCTATAAATTATACTAGGGTTTGGGTTGGTGAAACATCCAGTAGATGTTAAAAATTCCCGCTAGCACTGCCCATGCAATCAAGGGGTGCCTTCCGGATTTTGAGTTCTTTTTTTAAAATCAGGAAGCCAAAGAACAATACAAATCGCTGCTTCCTATTTCAACACATAAAAATTTTCGGCCATGACTGCTTCTTCTCCAAATCCAGGCATCATGCACGAGAGGATCATCAAATTCTTTTAATTCATAGAAGGATTTTCTTTGGGGTGTGGTTTCAGTTTAATAATCCTAATTTCTTAGGCCATTTCAGGTTCCTTAACCACCGGACCAAATCAAACCAGAAAACTCACTGAAGTTTGCTGATCTCGGAATAAAAAGAACACCTGTGGCCAAATTTTGGTGTGTGTGTGTGGGGGGCTGTTATCAGACAAATAGCCTCACTAAAGACTGATTAAGAAGAAGAGGCAGGAGACCCAGCACCAGCAGGCCACACCCAAACTAAGCTTTAAGGAGCCCGATCGCTCACCACGCAATGCTCAAAAACAATCAGAGCCCGCCGTCACATTTGGAGAAAGCAAATGGGAAATCACCGGTTTGTGCACGGAAAGAACGCTCCTGAAAGGAATTATGACAGAAGCGACAGGAGATGTGTTTAGGCAGAGTAGAGTGCACTCTTTCATCTTTCACCTGGTTTCTTGGTTTAAGTAAACAGGTCTGCTGTTATCTGTGAGGTTAGCACAGGGTCCTTAAACCCCGTGGGCGTCACTTGGCCCCTTTGAGAGAGAGCAGCAGCCCCTATTAGCTCTTGCATTTCACTTCATCAGAGGCCTTCTCCATCTACAAAAAGTCAAACTCCACAGAAAGGCCATAGAGATAGCACCTCCCGCTGTTTCACCAAGGATCACCAGATCTGTCTTTTCACTTGGAGGAGTCTCAGACATAAAAGGTCTCATTATCCCCAAATTAAATGGTTTCCTATCTTGGAAGACATGTAGCACCTGCATGAAGATATCTATTTTACAGACCAGAAAACTGAGGCCCAGAGAAAGGACAGTCCTGAGTCACATGGCCCGTAAATTACACTTCATCTTAGCCAAAAGGCCGAGAAGGGATTGGGCCAGTAAATTAAAAAGCTGGGGCTAAATCACTTTTCTGGGACCTGGCCTGATATCTTTCCCCCAGAGATGGAGTTTTCCAATTTGTAAAAAAGAAAAAAAAAAAAAAAATTAAAATGCATTCGCTCACCTTGAGTGTCCCTCGAAAACTGTGTGCCACAGGAGCTACTTGGTCCATATTCTTGAGTCCAAAGTCATTCATCTTGAAAGAGAGAAGGAAGTCCAGTGTCAAAGAGGCAGCAAGGCATAAGGACATTTTCAAGAAGTACCCATTGATGGCTTGCTGGGGGTTCCACAGGTGACAGGTAAAGCACAGCTGGCTGCTGGAATTGGTTTCCAAACGGATTTTCTCCCAGGTTTGTGAGGAAAGCAGTGCTCAAGTACAACAGGGGTGAGCTACTCAGGTATTTAAATAATAAATGCTGACTGCCCACGAATTCCGCTCTGATAGGAGACCCCAGATTAAACCACTTTCTGTCTGTCTGGCAGGTCAGAACCCCCTTTCCTGGGTCAGCTGGCGGAGGTGTCCTGCTTTCCACTGGTTTCCATGGCATCAGCAGCCTCGGTGAGGGCTTGAGGGCACCAGTAGAGCAGTGGGACATCTCGAGTCTGTGCAAGACGTGCTGAGCTCCACCTGGGATCAGAGCCAGGAAAGCCTGTCCTGCCAGAAGGGGTCCCAGAAAGTCCCCCTCTTCTCTCTTCCCCTCCAAAACGCAGGAGGGCACACCCAGAAGAGGGGCAGTGGGTGGGAGACCTTATTATGCCCAAACTCTCTTACAAGACTGTGATCCTCCTGCTCTGAGTACAGAGCTCAAAATACTTGGTTCTGTGTGTCGCTCGCTTGGTTGTGCATTTCAAGAGAAAATAATTCCAATGTGCAGACCAACATGGCGGTCACCAGCCACTGTGAACCTGGCTGTGCTCTGAGAACAGGATACTCATGAGATTCCCGAGATTTGGCAGAAAAATGGAAAACGACTCAATTACATGTCTATTCACCACACGCTTATATAACAGTTTGAATATAGCCGGTGAACTAAAATCAGTTTCACCTGTCGTGCTATTTCTAACGTGGCTGGCAGAAAATTTAAATATGCACATGTGGTGTGCAGTCCGATGATGCTGAACCAGACCTAACACTTCTTAGGGCCCTAATCTGTTACCTGTTTGGTTACACGAATTGAGGAGGAAGAAGAGGCACTGCTATAATACTGCCAGAGGGCTAAATAAAATGACTGAGGAACTAAAACTCAGCAGATAAACACTGTGAAGGCAGGCAGCCTTCACCTTGAGCCTCCTGCCCAACCTGGGGTTCCCCTAAGTGCCCAGCTTCTGTCTCCTCTGGGTGCACCCACCTGTCACAGCCTAGAACCCAACACTAATCACTGTGCAATGGATGGTGCCACTGGGGACAGCAAACAGCACAGCCGCCTGAAAATGGTCTATTTTATGTTTGTGCTTCCCTATTTTCTCTTCATGGTCAGCATTTATGGCTAAACCATTGCCCTAAGGACCCAACCCCTCACCCAACACACACACACACACACACACACACACACACACACAGCCCTTGGATGAAACAGGACAGGGCCGCAAGAGTTCTTGGAAAGGCTCAGAGTGGCACGGCTGAGGAGTGTGAAGTCACAGTCCTACTCGAGGAGAGGAAGGGCTGTCCTGGCTCTTAAGTGGCCGTCCGGGCTCAGAATCTCCATTGGTACATTACGTCACCCACAACTGTGCAGGAATTAATATTCACTATCAAGGAAGGCTGCCAGGACACTCCGCCGGGTCTCCAAGGGCCAAGCCCTGCGCTGGGGGACCCTAAGTCCCTAAGTCCTGGAATCTGCTGCGTTCCTGAGATGTGGAGGCCATAGCACCCTAAGGCGAGGCCACTGAGGCCAGCATCAGGGGGCCACTGCCCTGGGATCAAACAGCTACAATGGGCCCTGAAGGCAGGGTGGAGCTGAGGGTCTGGACCCTGGACCTCCCCACATCCTGAGAGCGAGTACACAGGTATTACTAAGGATACTGAAGGCAGAGAACTTCCTACCCTGTGAAACACTCTTTCCTTGGAACTCTACCTGTGTCGTCTACCCAGGTGAAGTCAGTCCAGTCACCTGTTGATTAAACAAACAAGCCTCCACAGAAAAACTCAATAGGACACACACACACACACACACACACCAACCAACCCAAAAACAATAGGACAGACATCAGGAAGACTGGAATCATCCACTCAGGGCTTGATAGGGTAGCACTTTCTGGTCACTCGATTTGTCAGATGCTTGTGGACTATTCTATATTTTTTAGCATCTGAGATGGAAGGTGAGGATAACAGTGCTTTCTCGGCTTTTGTGTACAAATACCAAGAGAGAAGGCGGCATACCACTCCCACTTTAAGAGCTGTAATTACCAGCTACACAACAGAATTCTTTTGTTGTCCAGCTTTTAATGAGTTTTGTACAACCTATGTAGAATTAAAGAGCTCTACTAAATGATTTCAGGCAGACACACAAATAATCAAATTTAAGCTCACTTATTCTACGTACTCCACTCGGCTCATTAACTAGGTGGACTGGTCAAGTTTCTCCATAAAAATCGATTTCAAGTTTGGGTCGTTTTGGTCCCACGGGACTGTTCTTTGCTTTTGAACAGAACGAAAAGGAAAAAAAAAAAAAAAAATGGCAGAAATGTAAGCACTGAGAATGCTTACATTTTACAACAAGGAGAATTTGCCTGACAACAATATTCTTATTGGAACAAGCAATCACTTATGTAAGATCAGAGCACAGGTTTGTTTGTAGGTAAATTTGGAAAAAAAAAAAAAATCTAAACCCGTGACACACTTTTAAAGGTTGGCTTGCTCTTGTCTTGAAAGCTATCAGTTCAGAAAGATGAGTGACTAAGCCCAGAAATGGGGGTTTGACTGTCTTCCCCCGGGTCGCACGGTGTTCACATGCACCGTACCGCGATATTACTCGGAATTTTAATAAAGCTTAAGGTAGAGATTTATCTCCCCGATTGGAGGTGGTGTAGGATGGCAGATAAGGCAGGGCGCTTCCATTGTGCGGAATAAACGCGGTCTCTTCCCGGTGAATTAACATAAATTACTCCTATCTCCAAAAATGCTCACTTCTTTACCTTGTAAATAAGTAGCGATTAAACTATTTTAGGATCCCTAAAAATCCAGCACAGGCTAACCCAAGTCTCACGCGCTAAAAATTAAAAGGCGAAAGATTATACGACCTGAAGAGAAACAAGAGTATATGCGCTTAAAATTAAAAAAAAAAAAAAAGATCCAAACATACACAGGCAAATGATCACGTTTCCCCTTCATTCAAATGTTCTAAGGTGAAAACATGTAAGGGCCGCGGAGGGGAAGCAACCCGCTCTGAAGGTGCCGCGTGCCCAGGGGCCCCGGCCGAAACCGGGATGCGGCCGAGCAGATGACAGAGGACCTGCAGTCTCTCAGGCGCCTTTCCAGCAAGTCACCCCAACCCGGGGCCCTCTCGGACACCCTCTCTCCAACCTCTTTGGTGAAATCAGTCCTCTAGGGCGCGCCACGGGGGCTGGAACCCCCACCAGGCCCGTGATTCTTTCCAAAAAACAAAAGCACCCCCGCCCCGTTCGAGCCCGGCCACCCGCGCAGCGCAGCCCCACGCGCGACAGCGACCGCCACCCCCAGGGCCACCCGGCCACCGGAAAACGGGCCCGAGCGTAACTCAAACGCGCGACCCCCGAGTTCCCGGGGTGGTTCCCCGTCCCCGATCGCGGCTGCCCTGGGATCACGCCCTGGGATCGGCCCTCGAGCGCCGCGCCCGCCCGCTGGGGGTCCCCGCCGGGGCGCACGCTCTCCAGGCTGCTCTTACCTCGCCGCGGGGCAGGGCCGGCGGCCAGCGGCGAAGCTCGCGGCCGGGTCCCTCGGTGGCGCAGCGGAAGGCTAGCACGGGCGAGGATCCGGAGTCTGGGGTCGGGGATCGGGGGTCGGGGATCGGGGGTCGGGGATCGGGGGTCGAGGATCGGAGGTCGAGGGTCGGGGGCGTGCGGAGGCCGGGGCTGGACGCCGCTTCCCTGGGCCACTCCGCTCTCGGCGCCGCGGTGGAGGAAGTATCCGGCCCGGCCCCCTCGCGCCGCGCTCTTCAGAAGCGGGGGCAGGGCCGGGGACGCGGGGAGGCGGAGAGAGACCGGCAGGGGAGGGGCGAGGGGCGGGGAGCGGAGGAGGAGGGGCGCCCGGGCGCAGGGGCGAGGCGCGGGCCGCGGGGGCGGCGTGGGCGGCGGGCGCAGCGCTGGGCGGGGAGGAGGCGGCACCTTCCGGCCCGCCCGCCCCGGGCTCTGTCCGGGGCCCTGGCCCCAGGCTGCCCCTGCCTGCTGCCCGGGGCAGGGGCCGCGGAGCCTCCGGGTCGGCCGGGCGCCTGTTCGAATCCGCAGGAACTAGGGCTGGGACTGGTGGCGCGCGGGGGCAGCGGGGCTTGGGCCTCCAGGTGGCTCTGGATTTCTGGTCATGCTGTCAGGCAAAGGCCCTAGACCTGAGGTTAGGAGCGCGCGAACCGACCCCTGCCGGGTGCGGAGTCCGGGCTCCGAGAGGGGGGCGCCCCTTAGGGCTGAGCGCCCGCGAGGCATCACCCTGGTTCCACTAGGCCTTGGTGTTCCCACTTTACGCAGCGGGGAAGTGAACCGCGCCGTAAATAGCCAGACAGGTCATCTAAATGGGAAACTCAGGTTTGAAACCCGAGTTCCTCTCCGCATGGTCAAAACCACCAGCCGTGCTGTGGTTTCTTCCCACGTTTTATTAGCAGGTACTTGAGTCCGTGGCCGGAACCCTGTGCATTTCCTACTTAGACTCGGTCACAGGCTCAATATTCCAAGCAAGAGAGTAGATTTATCTCATGCGTATGCAGCAGAACAACCCATGGTAGGCAAGGCCGCGGGACCGAAGGTTAGCGCATCTTAAGAACCGCTATACTGGGAAGGGAGAGGAAGGGCTCAGCTTCTCTGGTACCCAGAGTTCCCAGTTTCCATGGCAACTCAGGATCAGGGCTTCTCTATCATTGGTTGATTGAGATCCTGTTGCACCTCCAGGTTTCTCCTGTGTGAAGGTGTCCAGGTGTCAGTTGCGTGGGTCAAGGCAATGTCTACACGGCTGAAACGACCAGGCCCTAAAGGAACTGCTGTTTCTTAGAGAGTGAATCAATTCTGAAAGCTTCTCAGTGTATGTTCAGGCCTTGATCAGAGAACTCAGAGAGGTCAAGAAGGAGCTCCATAAAAGGAACAGAGATCCATAGTATGTTACCATGGAGACGTGAATGAAGTGTATGTTTTTTGTTTTTTGTTTTTTTTTTAAGCCACGGCAGAAAACCCTGACTCTCTGGGACTACAGTGCCAGTTATTAGAGGGTCTCTGCTGCTGACTGGTCACTGCCATGGCAGTGTCTGAGAGGCTGTGTGTTCCCCACAGCACAGGTGCCCAGAGTGAGAGTGCTTGTGGCATCCCACCTGGTCCTGAGCCCGTGGGCTCCCAAGGGGCTTCCTGAAGCAGGACATCTTTCTCCCTGCAGGGCTGGCCCAGACTGAAGGCTAGAAGGGGCACTTTCCTTGCTGGGAAGTTTGCGATGTACGTGAGCAGAAAGCTGTGGAAGGAAGGAGCCCAAGGGCGGGCAGACTGCAGTGCCCCCTCCGCGGAAGAGTAAGGGCTGCCTGTGGAAGTCATGTGGTCAGTCCCAGTCTGCAAGGAAACCGTCAGCAGGGTTACAGAGGGTAACAGCTACAGCGATTATATTTCTCTTTCCAAGCTCTCCTCTGAGACTATTGTGTGAAAACTTTGGTTTAAAAAAGCCCTATCATATAAATGAAATAAAGAAATCCCTATCCTCTTGGTTCTGAATGTGTGAAACTGTCTAAAATGACAGTGACTTCAAGCATAAAGGTCAGAGGTTCTGGTGACCTGTTCATCCAGGTGAACCAGAAGCCTAGATCTGGACCCCACCTTTGTTTCACCACCCCTGTCTCTTCCCGTGAGGCCTGGGCTGGTCCCGGGGCCCTGGCGAGGGTCTTGGGTCAGGCCCAATCGCCCTCTGCCTCAGGCAGCTTTCAGACCAGGGTTCCATGGCAGATGCTGGTTCTGGGGCTGTACCTGGGCCCCTTACAGATTCTCCTTCCTATTATTAGTTGGTTTCCTAGTTACTCAGCCGAATTAAGGCCTCGCCAGGTCAAAGCCTGTGATTACTCATTCACTATGATGGTGCCATTCACAGGGAACACAGGGCCGAACAGTAAATTAAACCTAATAAAAGTGCAGCCCTTCAGTATGGAGATCAAAAGTCGGTGTTAGGAGGAAATTGAAAGTCGGAAGGCACGGTGGGTAAAGGGATGGAGTGCACCGTGGCAACTAAGTGGGAGGGCAGGTGTGAGTCTCCCCCCCACCTTGGAGAGGAGAGGGTCATTAACAAATAGCCAGAGAGTGAAGTGCAGAGAGAGGACCTCAGAATGCAGGCATGATTATGAAAAATGATTAACCTACCAAGTCACCCTTTAATGAAAAACAACCTAAATAAGTTTCCTTACGGGGCCTGTCTGTATTTACCTTGAGATCCAAATCAATAGTCAACACAGTCCTCGGTAGTTTCCAGTTGCAAGTTAAACAGACGTCATTGCATCTGAGGTGTATCATTTGTTCATTCAGCAAACACAATGCCAGATGCTGAGAGGACAAAGGTAAATAAGGCTTTCTCTCTGCCTCTGAAGAAGTACAGTGAAGTATGCTGTGTTGTCAAAATCACACATTAAATTTTTACAAGTTGTGGCACTAGGATCGAACCCAAGGGCTTCACACTGAGCTACACCCCTAGCCCTTTTTAAATTTTGAGACAGGGTCTTGATAAGTCTCTAAACTGCCCTGGCTGGGCTCCAGCTTGTGATCTTCCTGCCTCAGCTTCCTAGAGCGGTGGTAGAAATAATGTAATCCGTGTGAAAGCAGTGGCGGCCCTTCTGCTGATACGTATTGAGGTCAAGGAACGGAGACGTCAAGCTTTAGAACCCAACCCCTCCCTGTACCTCCAGACCCCCATTCCTGCCCCATTACTGGCGGGCATAGGTACCACAAGTCCACCTCCCAACGGGGCGGTCACAAACCACCCCACAGCAAGTGATGTCTGCTTGCCTGCCTGCCTTCCTTCTTCCTTCCTTCCTTTCCTTTCCTTCCTTCCTTCTTTTCTTCTTCCTTCCTTCCTTCCTTCCCCCTGTCCCTCCCTCCCTCTCTCCTTTCTTCCTTTCTCTATTTTAAAGAGAAAAAATAATAAAATTTCAAAACAAGATAATAGGAGGGTAACGATAGTTAATACACTGAGTATTGTTATCTTTGTTGCTCACAATACACGATATCAGCATTTAATTATCCAAATAATATTAGCATACACCTTTCTTCTCAATGAACTAAGAGAAATTAGTAGTATAACTATCTTAATTATCTATTTATCTATCTATCTATATATATTTTGCTCTTCCTTTCTTTCTTTTCTCCATTCCCCCATCCCAGTTTCACTTTCCTTTTGAAGTTTATTTCCATTTTATAATATCTGTTATACCTTTTGGATCTTATTTACTTTTTCAGCTTCTCACACTAGGGAGAAAATGCGATGTTTACACAAGTGCATCTGGTTTATTTCACTTATGAGTATGGTCTCGAGTTGCATCCATTTACCTATAGAAGTCTTCAGTTTATCCGTCTTTATAGCTGAGTAGTACTCCATTGTATGAAAACACCACATCTTTTTTATCCATTCCTCAGTTGATGGGCATTTGGGTTGTTTCCAGGATCTACCTCTTGCAAATTGTGCACATGGGTGCACATATATTGCTATGGTGTGATGTTTTTAATTCTTCTGGGAAGATACCAAGAAGGGGATAGCTGAATCAAATGGGACCTCCAATCCTAATTTTTTGAGGCATCTTCACACTGATTTCTACAGTGGATGTACCAGTCTACACTCCCACCAACGGTGGAGAAGTTTTCCTTTTTCCCCCGCAGGCCTGCCAGCATTTGTTACTGGTTGATTTCTTGGTGATAGCCATTCTTTCTGGGGTGAGATGGAATCTCAGAGTTGTTTTAATTTGCATCTGTTGAATGACCAATGATGTTGAACATTTTCTCATATATTTATTTGCTGCTTGTATTTCTTCATCTGAGAAGTGTGTATTCATCTCAGATGTCCATTTTTTGGTTGGGTCTTTATAGTTGGGAGGTCTGATTTTTTTTTGAGTTCTGTACATGTTCTGAATAGTAATTTTTTGCCTGAGGAACAGCTGGCGAACATTTTCCCCACGTTGTGGGTTGTCTCTTCACTCTGGTAGTGCTTTCTCTGGCTGTGCAAAAGCTTTTTAATAAGAGGAGGTCCCAGGGGCTGGGGATGTAGCTCCGCGGCAAAGCACCTGCCTGGCAAGTGCAAGGTCGTGAGTTCGGTTCCCGGTACCGGAGAAAAACCAAAAAAAAAAAAAAAAAAAAAAAAAAAAGATGAGGTCCCAGTTGTTGATTCTTTGTGCTAACTCCTGTGTGATTGGATGTCTGTTTTCTTCATTAACCCATTTCCCGTTTAGAAAAAAAAAAGGTGCAGCTTCAATTTAAATTTAGGCCAGCCTTCATTTAATTTTCAGCAATTGAGAATGACTATGTTTTATAAATAGAAATATCATTCAGAAAATACAGAGCGCTGTAAATAGCACAATGCCTTTTGTCTCCAATGACTCTCCATACACTCGAGCTGTGCCAACATCACAGTAAAAGCGAGACAGTTCATGGCAAGATGGGGTAGGGTTAGGACCGCTACCGGCAAGTGTCTCCGGGAAGATGCTGCCCCCGCAAGCGCTGCTGCTGAGTAAACCAGGAAATGGCCTAAGACTCCTCGAGGAGCAAAAATGATATCCTGGGGGCTAAAACCTTTTCCTGATGCCCCTGATCATTTTTTCTGCTTGCTGGCAGCTGCCTTTGTCACTTGGGTTGCCTGGGGCCATGAAGACAGGACCAGGGGACACAGCCTGCCCGTGAAGACCCGGGTCAGCTTCCCTGGCCATCCAGCAGCCCCAGTTTTCTCCTTGCCTGCCACCCTTGGCCGTCTGAGCCCATTGCAAACCTGA